GGAAAAAAGCTTAAATCTGAGTCAGAAGCAAGCAAAGGAAAGAAAGAGATAGGATATAATAGAGGGCGTGAACTTGTACTATTGATGTATGCTACTAAAAAATAATAATAAAAGAAGCAAGCAAAGAGGGTTGGGAGATAAAGACTTCTCTCAACTTTTTGTTTTATTTGTGTTTTGAGACAGGGTCTCACTTTGTACCCCAGGCTGGCTTCAACCTTGTGATCCTCCTATTCTACCTCCCTAGTGCTGGGTGTACATCACCATACCTGGCTTTCAACTTTCCTGACCGTAAGTCCAGAGGGAGACTTGTAGATCAGTAGTAGAGTGTTTGCCTACCATGTGCAAGGCCCTGGATGTGAGCCCCAGCACTGCCAAAAAAGAAAGTTCCAGAAATACAAGTGAATGAACAAGGTTTTGAGAGTGAGGAGAGATGGCATTCTTTTGATATAACATCGCATGTGTCATCTATGCACCTCTTAAAGCAGAATAAAAAAGAGAGCCATTTAAAACAGGACACAGATCTCCATTGTTTTTATGTTCATATTTTAATGTATGAGTTAGATCCACTTAACACTTAAAGATGATTCCCAAAGATGCTCTCAGTTGATGATACTGTTCTTCTAAAAATAATAGGATAAATGATTACATATCAATCAGTATTATTTACACCAAATCATTAGTAAAGATGATGTGTTTTTATTAGAATAATAAGAGTAATGCAATCTCAAAAGTAATTTAATGTAGCCTTTTGTTTACTTCCATGATCCAGTGCTCCTCTGGTTAAAAATAGGGAGCAAAGAAGGAATTGGAACCAGATAGGCAAGAAAGTAGTTTTATAAGATTGATAAGGCTGGGAGCATAGCTTAGTACTTGCCTAGTATGCATGAGGCCTTGGGTTCCATCTTCAGCCCCACAAAATAATAATTCCAAGCAGCAGTAGCCCTGCCTCTTTCCCATAGAGTGAGATAGAGAAAGAGGCAGCCATCACTGCCATCATGAGGAGGAGGAGGAGGAGGATAGTACTTTACAGTTTTAAATGTGCTTTCATATAAATTATTTTATTGTCTCCTTAGAGCAAACGTGCTGAAACTTTCCCAGTAAGGAAACTGAGGTCTGGAAAGAAATACAGGTGTTTGCCCAACATCATACACCTAGTGGAAAAGGATTCTGGCTTCCATAACAAATGAAAATATTGTCTTCCCATTCTTAGGCTTTTATTCCTTCTTTTACAATATATCACCATGACCTAGATGCAAAATTAATGGAGCTAGAGTTGATATCTCTTAATCCCTAGTAGCATAATTACTTTTCCAATATGCTTCACCAGATTTTTATTTTTAACAATGCAATATCAAAGCAAAAGCAAAGTATTTTATTCCACCTTTCATGTAGAGTTTAAAAGACCAGAGAGTAGATTTGTCAGGAAATCCCCGTTGGAATAAATCTGGAACCATAACCATCACCAAGGGATGTAGTATATCCACTAATTCCCTGAGCAGGAAGAAGAAAGGTAGCAATGGCAGCCTCTAGGATACAACTGCAGCAGACCTCCGAAATGCAGTTACCCCAAGCATAAAACCCCTTCCTCATCACGCCTCTGATGCACATGACATTCAACCTTGTCTTTTGACTATCTCTGAGTGGCTTGTTGCTTGATGGTATCAGTTTTTAAAAGGCACAGCTACATGCTTTTTCGTTTCCTCATCCCCCACAGTTCTTCCTCACCTTTGCACTTCCTAATGTCTCCATTTATCAAGGCTGCCTTTGATGGTTCACCTTTAACCAACTTGGCCTGTGTAAAACCATGAACAAGGGGAAGAGAAGTTCATTGCTCTGATACCTGTCAGGCCCCATATGTCTAGGAATAGCCTTTTTATAAGCCCTTCGTTTTTTAGTGATATTTTCCAGCTGTATAATACCTTGATTGCCTGTTGGAAAGAGTTAAATATAATAAAAGATGAGAGTGTCTGAGAATGTAGCTCAGTGGTACAGTGATTGCTTAGTATTCACAAAGGCCTGGGTTTAATTTCCAGCACCACAAAAAAAAAAAAAAGTGAAAGAAGCTGAGCATGGTGACTCGTATGTATAATCCCAGCACTCAGGAGGCTGAGGCAGGAGGATTGTGATTCAAAGTTACATAGTGACACCTTGTCTCAAAAAAAGCAAAAAATGATGATGAGAGAGCAAAGAATTCGCTTCTGGTTGAGTTTTTGGCCTGTAAAAATGGATGTTTTTGCACTCACCTGTCAGATAAACAGTCAGTCTCCCACAAGGGAAACCTTTAGGACATGAGCTCCTTCCACCAGGGACCTCTCCACATGACAGTGCTTTCTGTTAAATGTTCTTCATTGTAACTGTAGAAGTTCTGCTAGTAGGAAATTATTGTAAACCAGACATGGTAGTGAACATCTGTAATCCCATCATTCAGGAGACTGAGGCAGGAAGATCATGAGTTCTGGGCCACAGTGAATTTCAGGACATTGTGGGCTATATAGCAAGACCCTATCTCAAAAAGGGAGGCGGAGTGGGGTATGGTGGTTTATCCCTGTAATCCCAGCTACTTGAGAGGTCAAGATGGAAAAATTGCAGTTCAAAGCCAGCTTAGGCAAAAAGTTAGCAAGACCCTGTCTCAAAACTAAGCTGCGCATGGTGGCACATGCCTGTCTTCCAGATGGGAGGGAGGCATATATAGGAGTATTCAGGTCCAAGACCAGCCCTGGACCAAAGTGTAAGACCTTACCTGAAAAATAACTAAAGCAGAAATAGCCAGAGGCATGGCTCAAGTGATAGAGCACCTGCCTAGCAAGCTCAAGGCCCTGAGTTCAATCTCTACCCGCCAAAAGAAAAAGACACGTGGATGTTTATAGCAGCTTTATTCATAACTTCCAAAACTTAGAAGCTAGCAAAATGTCCCTCATCAGGTGACATCCAGACAATGGAATATTACTCAGTGCTAAAAAGAAATGAAGTATCAAGGTACAAAAAGACATGGAGGGACCTTCGGTACATATTTCTAGGTGAAAGAAATCAACTTAAACAGGCTATATATTGTGTGAGTCAAATTATATGACATTCCAGAAAAGGCAAAACTGTGGAGACAGTAAAAAAGACAGGAGGTTGCCAGGGGCTGACTGGGAGGGAGGGATGCGCAGATGGAAGACAGGATTTTAGGGCAAACTATTCTTAATGATACTATATGATATATGGTAGATATATGGCACTGTACACTTAATTAAAACCTACAGAATCTATAACACCTAGAGTGAACTCTAACAAACTCTAGAGTATGCATGCATGATAATGTGTCAACGTAAATTTGTCAGTTATAACAAATGTGCCAGATGTCGATAGTGGAGGATGCTGGGAGGTAGGAGAGGGCAAGGAAGAAAGGACGCCTCTGTACTTTGACTCTCCTTTGCTGAGAACCTAAAGCTGCTTTTAAAAATAGAGTCTATGTTTTTAAAATAGTAGGGCAAACAAAACACATCTAGAAATCAGATTCAATTCCCAGCCCACCAGTTTACAATTCCTACTATAGAATCAACTGTTGAGGTCCAGCCCAAGTGGAAGTCAGACAAATGGTTAACATCAGATAGGCATAGCAAAAGACACCAGGTGTGTCCTGCCTCCCAAAGTGATGACAGCTCCAGAAAGACCAGACCGAGCAATAGGAGATGTGGGTGAGCAGTGTCAAAAAACCTTCCAATAATAGCCTTCTGAGTTTAAGCCACAGACCTAAAGCCATGGCCTCTGGGGACAGCTGACCAAGCAGAGAGAGTTCTTATAAGACAGCTGGGGAATTAGGCAGGTGATTAGGATTGATACTCATTCTAATAGAAGTAGAGAGAGGTTCAGTGACCAAAGTGGGTCACAGAGCAGGAAGGTAGGCTCAGGATCCAGGCAAAGCACCACTAGAATTACCATTTAGGGTTAGAACAAGCTGACTAGTTTTTGAGGCTAATCAGGACGTTTTGGGTAGCATCCACTTAGACACTGACGGTATCTAACAAAAAAGAATGTGTTTGGGAAAAAAAAAAACTGGTAGAGCTACCTTCAGGCCACTTGGGTGTTCATTAAGCTATTAGGAGTTTGTGTCTGTTGTGTGTCTGTCGCCCTCCCACTGTCTGTTATGTGTGTCTGTTTTCAGGCCATCTCTACATGGTATTTCCCAGTGGTCCTGAACTTACACTATAGTGAGCAATCTCACTGGGAAGAAGACTTGTCTTCCCCAATAGTGTCAATAAAATTCCCAGGATTGATACCCACTCATGAACTCATCACTCTGATAAGAGTGGTAGAAGATGCTTTTTAATCAGAGCAGGTTCTCTTGACCCGTGTTTCTATGAACAAAAGAGGAATTAGGTGTGCAAAGAGAAAAAAGTACCCTTACTAGAATGGATGCTAAGATACAAAACAACAGAATTCCTCCCTACAAAGTTAAGTTAGCTAGGGTTTTTGAAATTCCCTCTTTTGTCTCCTATGTCAAGGTCAGGGGAAAAGCTAAGATTTGATGGCCAAGGGTGTAGGTTAGTGGTAGAGCATTTGCTTAGTGTATGCAAGGCCCTGGGTTCAATCCCAGCACCACACACAAAAAAAGAGAATGCTAAAATTACCAGGTAAGTCATCGCAAAGATGCCCTCATTTCTAATGAAGTATGAACACGAAGATTCTTCAAAATACGAAGATCAGTGATAGTGGACAGTTCTGTCTCGATGGGAATTGTCAGAGGAACAGATCAAAATGAGAATGAAACTATGGAATCGTGGCCATGATTAATTGCTTCACATTGTAGGTGAGATATAATTGAAACACTAATACAGTATATAACAATTCTTTGGGCTGAAATCAAGTCTAGCATCTTATATTAAGAAGATTAATTAGTTAATGTTTATAAAGTACTGTGCAGACATGCCCTTTTAAAATGCTAACTTCTAAAATCTAAATTGTAGCATTTTACTAAATGTAAAAGATAAAATGTTCATCCTTTTTCTTTGGTACAGGTTGGCAAAGATTCTTTTGGCAATGATTATATAGAAAACTTAAAACAGAATGATATTTCTACAGGTAAAAATTCATCTTTTTAAAAAGTTAGTGATCTTGTTACAATAAAAATTGAATGTAGAGTAAAATTACTAGCTCCTCCCTTAATGGCCAGAGAAATTTTATGCACAGTTTTGTCTGCTCTTACTTTTATGTTCTCTGGCAATTAATATGCATTCCTCCAGATGGAAATAAAATGATAGAAGGTTATAAACTTTCGTCTCATGGCTATATGGCAAGTGGCAAGGAAAAACAGGTTCTGCCTTCACAAAAGATATTTTAAGAAAAGCCACTGAATATTATAGCTGGAAGTGATCATAGAACCATCAAGACTGAAAACGTTATCACAGAAGAGAAAAACTAAAGGCCAGAGAAGTTCTGTGATTTTTCCAAGAGCACACAGCTCATTGGAGCATTAACCAGGACTAGAATGTAGGTTTCTGACTCCAGTTGTGAGCTCTTTGCTGCTGTCCAAGGCTGCCTGATCAGCATTGCTAATCCAGGCAATGCCAGGCTATGGTTCTTGATGAGATGCAAAGCTTACGAGAAGGAAAAAAATCAAAACAGTTCATTTTATATGTTTGACCTTTTGTTTCTTTTTTCTTTTTATCTCGTGTCTGTCATTTCTTTCAGTGGAGAGAATAAATGTGTTAGTGTAGAAAAGTACATACGTATACAAGTATGCATAATTTGGGGAAACTGGAAGTGGGAGTAGTTTGATGGATTGTTACTAATGTAGAGGAAAGGTGCCTCTGAATGTAAAGTTGCCTATTTTCCTCATGGGATAGGTGATGAGTATAAATTAGCACTAATTACTTATTTCTGTAAACTCACTCCAGATGGTTAAAGGTTAAAAAGTTTTCCCAAGAATTAGTATCACATTGAAATTGTTAAATTATCCATGCCAGGCTGTACGTGATTGTAATTTTCTTTTTTCCTGTAGAATTTACATATCAGACTAAAGATGCTGCTACGGGAACTGCTTCTATAATTGTCAATAATGAAGGTATGCGTGTCGCATATTGGAGCACCATTTCCTGAGACAGTTCATTTCCAGAACTAGATTGGAAGCATCAGTTTTTACCCTAGCCCTACTGACCTTTTACCACAACCACCATTCCACAGCCAGAAGCCCGACTTTTCCAACCCAACTATCAGTGTTTCCCTTAATCAATCACGTGTTGATTATTGAAATATAAAATCATCCATCTGATATATGTGAAGCATTATAGCTGCCTCCAAATAATTTTCATATCCCATTACATCCCCTTTACTCTTCACGTGAGCTCGGAATTGACGTTTGTCTCCAATAGCAGTTAAGTAATCATCTGTCATTTTTCTTACACTAAGTAAATAAATGTAAATAAGTGCAAAAGAAAGTTTGATGAATCATATTTATAGAATATTTACTGAGCAAATGGCAGCAACTAATTGCCTCTAACTTATCGTTAGCGTTCAATTTTGCCTGCTCTTTAAACAGCAATCAATCTCAAAAGTCTACGTATACAGCAAAGTCTGCCACCATGCTTTACCACACTCGAAACATTTATCTTTAAAAGCAGTAACTACCTTGGGCCAGGTGTGGTTGCGTGCGCCTGTTATCCCTACTACACAAGAGGCATAAGTGGAGGATCACAGTCAAGGTCAGCCCAGGACTTTTTTTTATAAAAACCCAAGACTCTACCTGAAAAATAACTGAAGAGAAAAGGGCCATGGGCATGGCTCAGAGTGGTAAAGCACCTGCCTAGAAGCGTGAGGCCTTGAGTTCAAACCCTATCAGCACAAAACAAAGGGAAAAAGAATAACTACCTTCAAGTTAGGTTTTTGTAACTTCTGCTAACTATTTTAAGTGTAAAAATGCCTACAGAAGGCTTTTTTAAAGCAGGATCAATACTCAGAAAGGCCAAATACATTGTGGGGCTCATAGGACAAAACCTAGTGCACTGTGGGCAGCCAGCATGCATTGTGATAAATTAGGATTTGTCACAGTATGTATCTATTTATACAGTGGTCCTAACCTTACCCAGAGGGGAGTACGTTGGAACACCAGTAGATGCCTGAAACTGCAGAAATACTGAGCACTATATATACTATGGTTTTTCCTATCCATACGTACCTTGATAAAGCTTAACTTATAAATTAGGAGTAGTAAGAGATAGACAATATCTAATAATAAAGTGGAACAGTTTTACCAATGTATTATAGTAAAAGTTATGTGAATGTAGTCTCTATTGCAGAATATCTTATTATACTATACACACTCTTCTTGTAATGATATGAGATGGTACAATACCTACATGATAAGATGAAGTGTGACATGAATAGCAAAGGCGTTAGGATGTAGCATCAGGCTACTGTGTCAGGGTTACTTGAATATAGGCTCTGCAATATCACAGTAATCTGATAATCAAGACAGCTATCAAGTGAACCTGGTAAGTAGCGTATATACAATGTTTTTGTGTTGGACAAAGAGATGGTTCATATCCCAGATGGGATGGAGTAGCATGATTTGAGATTTTATCATGCTGCTCGAATGGCATGCAATTTAAAACTTACAAGTTGGTTGTTTTTAGAATTTTCCATTGAATATTTCCATTTACAATTGAATAATTTTTCACTGAATGTATCAACCACAGATAAATGAAACCATGTTAATTAAGCTAACGTAATGCAGTGTTTTGGTTTTGGTTTTGGTTTTTTGCAGTACTGGGGTTTGAACCCAGTGCTTATACCTTGAGCCATTCTACCAGCCCTTTTTTGTGATGGGTTTTTTGAGACAGGTTCTCTCGCACTATTTGCCCAGGCAAATTGAGGATTGAAACCTCAATCCTCCTGATCTCTGCCTCCTGAGTAGTTAGGATTACGGGCGTGAGCCACCAGCGCCCAACTTGTAATGCAGTTTAAAAAGTCATTTTACATAGAGGATATCACATTTTTAACTCAACTTCAATGATCCTAAAGTGCAATAATTTTAAAAAATTCCATTTAAAGACAATAAAGTTTTCTTAACAATAGAAAGTCTTTATTTATTACATTAAGCTATGTCTTCAGTAACAACAGCTCATTTCTTGTCTTAAACCTCATATTTTGTTCCTTTCTTACCTGTGACACATAATCTGCATTTTCCATGCAAAGACACAATTTAACATATCTTGTGTCTCTATTACTGTGGGCCTTGCCTGGTTCATAGTATGGTCATACCCTTGAAAGTGTAGATTATAGAAGAGCTAAGACAAATACACAGAGGCGGGACAATCAGCAACTTTAAATGAAGGGAAGAGTATGTAAGGTAAAGCAGTGAATTTCATTTGGCAAGTTAAATTCCAGGCATGAATGAGCTACATGACTTTGTCTGTGGACAGCTATAGTCTTAGGCTTGTTGCTCAGCAGCCAAGGCCAGTCCAGAAATGGATGTAGGCACAATTTGCTCCAGCAAAGAGAATGAGGTCACTGATTGAGAAAAGGAATGAGAGATGCTGTCTTTCAGCAAATGGGTACTTTGAATTTTTCCAGGACTGAGGTTGAGTTTTTGCTGAATGATCCCCACTTTATTAAGTCCTCCTCAGAGCCAACAAACACATCTGTGGTAAGATGATAGGCTAGAATTTGTTCTGTGTTGAGAGGTAATTTTAGGTCATGTCTATACAAAATCAGCACAAGCAGCCTGGAGCACAAAAGGGAAAAAAAAAAAATGCCTGCTGCAACTCATTCCACTAGAGCAGTGCTACCCAATAGAAGTAAAATGCAAGCCACATGTCAGATTTCAAATTGTCCAGCAGCCACATTTTAAATGGTAAAAAGAAACAAATCTAATTTTGACAATATAGTCATTTAACCTAATATATCCAAAAGATTATTTCAACATGCATTTAAGTTTATTTTAAAATTTTTAATGTTTATGAATGAGATATTTTGCCTCGTTTTCTTGATAATGTTTTTTAAATCCATTGTATATTTTACACTTAAAGCACATCTCAGTTCAGACTAGCCTCATTTTAAGTGTTCAGTAGCCACATGTGCCACTAGGGTAGCAGATTTCTTAAGAGTCCACCAGACAGATAAGATGCACCACCACTCCCCTATGAAGGAGGATTACAGAGTGGGTCCAGGTGACAAGAAAGTATCAGATCCCTTAGTTCTGTTTAGTCTTTTTATCTGGTATAGTATAGGCCAAATATCCTTCTCTCTACCGTATCTGGTACATTTTCCAACTGTTAGACAATATAAATCATGTTTTAATTAGCATAATCACTTCCTAGAGTACAATGGAGTGCACACATGAACTATTTCCTTACTATAGATCATTAGTTCTGAGCATTATACAGGTCTGTTCCTATTTATACTCATCTCTAGGTATGTGTCATTTAGAATTCAGGATCTTTAACATACACACGTGGTACATGCCTGTGGTCCCAGCTACTTGAGAAGCTGAGGCTGGAGAACGGCTAGAGGAGTTTGAGGCCAGCCTGGGCAACACAGTGAGAAAGTGTAATCCAAATATTATGACTCTCACAGAGGTAAATTGCAAAAGATTCATGTGAATACAAAATTTAAGATCTGAATGTCCTAGAAATGTTAAAATTAATACTTAGGATGTTTTAGATAATGATTTTATAAGGATGATTGTAACACTCTAGAATATCATTGCTTGGCTTTGCTTGGTTTTGATATAAATACGTAGAATTTCTTTTTAGGCCAGAATATTATTGTCATAGTGGCTGGAGCAAACTTACTTTTGAATACTGAAGACCTGAAGGTGGCAGCCAGCGCTATTAGCAGAGCCAAAGTAATGAGCTGCCAACTAGAAATAACTCCAGAAACTTCTTTGGAAGCCCTGACAATGGCCCACAGCAATGGAGGTGATTTTGCATATTTGTCACTCTTCTGTAAAAGCTTTTATCGCTGTCTTAATTAAAGTTAACCTTTTAAGTTAAGCAAAGCAATGCTCTGTAGTAAAATATTCTTTCCTCCGTCTGTGAGATTCACTCTTATAGTTCTTGATAATGTTAGAAAAACTTACAAATAGGGTAAAAATAGCATGAGCAGCATATCCAATATCCCTAAATATAAATCTGTAATCTAGTTAGCAGAAATGAAACGGAGTAATTAGAATCTCTGAAGCAGCCCATTTCCAAGATAACACCCTAAGTAGTGAGATGTCTTCCATTCTGAAAAGCAGAGGTGAACTGTCATGTCTGATCACTGTCTCAGTAACATTTGTGTAAACATCTCAAGGGAATCAAAGATGCATTCTTTCTCCTTTTTGTAAAACTTTATCATCTTTTCAATATACCAAAAATTATTTGTATGTAGTATTTTCTATGTCATCAGTGTATAATCAGTGGCTGTTCTGTTTGACCTTTGATTTTGGAAATTTTCAAACCTATAAACTCAGTCAGAACTGTATAATGAAACCCATCACCCAACAGTTATCAACCCAAAGCTAATCTTGACGCTTTGTTCTCCCGTCCATTTGCCCTTTCTTACTCCCATCTGCAAATAACAGATGAATGGATTTTTTTAATCCCGGTATTTTTCTTTGCTTGCTTTTTTTCTCTCCATTGCCTCTTGTGGAAAGCCCCTGATGAGTTAGAATCCCTATTCTATCCCTTGTTAGCTTTGTGGTCTTACCAGAATTAGCTAATTTTTCTGAACCTGTCTGTAAAATGCATATAGAAGTACACCCTACAGAATTGTTCTATGAATCAAATGAAATAAAATACGATGCTAAGCATGCTACAGTTTGTGCCAGTAAATCCCAGTTTTCTTCTTACCTTGGCATGGTGGTACATGCCTATAATCCCAGCATTTGGAAGACAGAGGCAGGAGGACCATAAGTTCAAGACCAGCCTGGGCTTCATAGTAAGACCTTATCTCTAAAAACCAAAACAAAAAATTAGGATAATATCCTGATCTAACACCATTTGATCAAAACAAAAAGCCACTGTAAGACAATGGCTTCTGCTTGATATTATGGCAATAGTTATGTGATTTATAATAAGAAGAAAATAGGGACCCACAGTGACTTCTGTAGCTAAAACTTTCTCAGCAAGATAAGAAAAAGAACAGAGTATGTGTGTAGCGTGTGCATGTGTGTGTGTGTGTGCACTCATACGAGCAATTTCTCCTAAAGTATGGTGTTCTATATAGCAGTAAATGGAAAATAAGTCCCCGAGATTATTTTATGGAGAATTTTACAATGTGCATCCTGATTTAACAAATTTTCCTTTTGGCAAAACAATATGCTGTGGCAAATTCTCACTGACATTTACTGTATTTTTAATGGACTTGAAGCTGTCAGAATTCTAAGCCAAAATCCATTTGGTTACGTTTTCTCAAAGTGTCACAGATAAAGGCTAATGCTTACGGTAAGCATTCCTGCACTGTGCTCAGGCAGGCGATATGAATACAATGTGCCTCTCCACTCTTGCTCCTGTCTCTTTGTATGGATCAAAGCATACACATATAAGTTCTATTTCCTACTATCCCTTGCTTCCCAGGTAACTGTCCCCTTGTCCTAATCTAGTTACCTATTACCTACCCAGCTTGTGGAGGAGTGGACCATACAGCCACCACAGGTGAGGAACTAACCTTTCATAGGTGAGGCTAGAGGAATCCTGATGGCCAGGCAGCATGACCTTGGGCTGTCATTTATGTGGTGCCCAGCAATGCTTCCTGTCCCACTGCCATGCAGCCATGGCACTCTCCCGTTGAAGAGTTGGAGCTCCTGGACATCAAGAAGGGGAGAGGGTGGGCCACATAGCCTACTTGACAATAGTCCCCTCCTATCTGGAGGGCATCTGTTCCAAGACCCCCAGTAGATGCCTAAAACTTCTAATGTGCCAAACTCTCTAATTCAATGCCTTCCCGTATTAACTAACTTCACAAACTGTGGCTGTAACTTTTGACGTACAACAGCAAAACTAGCACTATTTTCTTTTTCCTTCTTCACAACTTTATTGGATAGAAGGTTTGCTCTTACCATAAATCTTAGCAACTCAGCATGCAGTTGTTTTCTTACCTTTTAAGTCAAGAACTTTCACCTTTTCACTTAAAAGAAACACTCCATGGCTTCTCTTTGGCACATCAGAATTGCCAGCCTCACTACACTTTGCACTTTGGAGCCATTATTAAGAAAAGTAAGGCCACTTGAACACAAGCACTGCAATACCATGGCAGCTGAGCCGATACCCAAGACTAAGTAGCTAATGACAGGGACGATAGGTTGGACAGAAGGATGAGTCACATCCCAGGTGGAATGGAATGGGATGGCATGAGGCTCCATCACATGACTCAGAATGATATGTACTTTAAAATTTACTGGTTATTTCTGGAATTTTCCATTTGACATTTTCAGACTCTGGTTTGCCTCAAGTACCTGAATCTGTGGAAAGCAAAACCACAGATAAGGGGAGCTACTATATAATAGTATTGGAAGTAGTAACACTGCATTTATATGCACTTTATAGCTTAGAAAATTCTTTCTTACACATTAGATCTTCAGAAAACCCTGTGACAAAAATGGATAGGCACTGCTCTCTCAGATTGAAGGTGAGAAGACTGAGACTCAGACAGGTTAAGTAAGTAGCTCAGCCAACATCACACTTTTAGTGAGTGTGCCCAACAAGATTTCATACGCCACAACCAAGGTGCTGCCTCCTAGACCACACTTTAAACAAACAACTGCTACACGCTGTTGATGTCAGGGACCTGAGCCTTTGTGAAGACTATCTCCAGAAATGTAAAATCCATAAATTTGAACTGTCCAGCATATAGTCTACGCTTTGTTTTTGCTGCTCCAGAAACATAGAAGCAGCACTGGAGCATTATCATCAGTGTGTCCCCACACACTACAATATACCTTACACACACACGCACGTTTGCACACACCTCCTCTGTCCAGGACTCTTCCAAACAGGCAGCTTTCTCTGGCCAGGTCAGTGGGCCCTAATGTAAATACCAGCCAGTGCAGCTTAAGACTCCACAGTATTGGTGAGTGTGTTTGTGCGTGTGTGTGTTTAATTCCATCTTCATTCCCAGATAAGAGTGGTATAATGAAAGGAGAGCATCTGTTTGGGAACCACCATGAAGAATAACTTTGAATTCAGAATCAATCACTTAGAAATAGGGAACCTCACTCCAAAAAGTCACTTCCTTGGTTCTCTAGACCAGTACCAGTACCAGTCAGTATAAATCATTTCCCCTGATTTTCTAGACCTGAGAGCTCTTAAATTCATTGATGTCATCATGGACTGATCACAGAACAGAGCAGCCAAGGCTAATGACCTGCTGACTAGTGAGTGTGTGCCCATTGCCCTGCGAGGCAGCACATATGCTGATTGGCTTTATTTCGTCTTCAAGAAATGTGGAAAAGGCATCATTCTCATCACCATCTGAGTTTATTGTCACGGCTGTCTTATCTCTGTCACTTACAAGTGGTAAACTTGAATTATATACATTGCTTAGCAAGGTGATATATCGGTTATTAAACCAAGGAAGAGGTTCCCTCCACCTTTCAATACACTATCTCAAAACTTTGCCTGTTCTTACCAAATGAAAGCATTGATTTTAGAAATAGCACCTAAAGAACTCAGTGGGGCTAGAATTGTGGCTCCAGTGGTAGATGCCTGCCTAAGAAGCACAAAGTTCAGGATTTAAACCCCACTGCCAATAAATAAATAAAAAAGATAAAATAAATTTTTAAAAACCTTGCTGGTACTGCACAGCCCTTATCCCTGCTAGGTCACGATACAGTGAGGTAGGCCCACTGCGGAGCTGGTGCTGCAGCTACTTCTGATGAAATTATGCATGTTGGTTCTGGTCTTTACATCCATTTCAAAGCAAATGGAACATTACAGGAACAATTATAAATAATTGAGATTGTAAGATTGCCAAGATTAAATCCTAGGTATGATACAAAGTATCTTTTAATGCCACTTTAGTCCTTTTCCATTTGGCAAACAAAATTTCTTGGCTTGCTGTGTATGCTTTCACAATAACATTGTCCAGCACATTGTCCAAGCTTGGAAAGATTTTGCTGCTCAAGTCACAGAAAAAGAGTGCCCAGTGTAGAGACAGCCAAGCCAGTGTTTTGGATATCTCAACCTCTTCACAGTTTCTTTGCTTGGGGTGATTTTAGTCTCCTGTTTCTCTGAACTGGTTGTTAGGGCTTTCTTAACTGTTGTATCTGGCTCCTTTCCTCCATGGCAGCACCATTACAAGGTTCCGCCTCATTTCCTTGCCTCTTAGCCTATCCATCTGCTCCCCCAGGCCTCAGTAGTTCCTCCTTGACATTACTATGTCAACCACTGACATGTGGTTAAGATAGCCAGGAGTTTAGTCCCGCTTACATTGTAATGAATAATAATTACTATTGCGTACTGTCAGTCAATTCTGCAACTCCAAGTCCCTCCATGGCATAGTGTGTTCTCTGGTTTTGCCCAGTCTCAGGATGACATCATCTTTTCCATCTTGTTTATTACAAATTTGTACTTATCTTTAATTAACTGTCTACTAATTCTTCATGTTTCTTCATCATGGTAAAGTATTTCTGCTTATCTGTGGTAGTACAAGTCAAGAAGAGTGCATTCTTTATGGCATTTTCCCTTTTGCCCTAAATTTACTTGCTTTGCCTATGTGTCAGCCTCTAAGCCTGTGTATCCAGTTTCTGTTGGCAAGACTGTTGCTCCTCAGTAAAACTCAGGCAAATAAGATTTGATTGATTTCTGTAAAATATTTATGGTAATTAAGTTTTAGGTTTCTCAGTCTACCTATTAATGCTTAAAACTCAAAGTAGTTGTTCTTTAAAATTTGGTTTTGTTGTGGAAAATTTCAAATATAGGGACATACAGAGGATAGTATGGTAAGCCCATATATACTGTTATTTTACTTCAGCAGTTACCAAAACATGGCTAGTGTTTCATCTGTACCCCAACTCATTGCTTCTTGCCCCCCACTGCCAAATTTAGTACTATATCATTTCATTCATAGTACACCTACTTTTGAGGAAGATAGCACAGATGCTTGCAGCATGATGCCTTTGTAAGATGCACAGTGCTTAATCTGTGGTCATATTTATTCCTGTTGACCTTTTATAACTAATCTCATGAGTTTAGTGAGCAACTTCAGACTTTTTGTCTTTTATGCAAGTATATTAATATAAATACAGAAGGGACTTAAAATGTAGCTAAGTAGCAAAGGTCTTCCCTAGCATGCACAGGCCCTGGGTTCAATTCTTAGCACTGAAAAATAAATAAAATACACATATAGTTGTGTTTTATCTAAAAAAGAAGAGCTAGTACAAAACTGCCTTAACTTATAACTGAATTATAGAAATCTTTCTCTGACAAAACAGAGATTGATGTCATCCTTTTTAGCATACATATTGCTGGGCTACATACTCCAGCACAAGGCAGAAAGATGGGTGGACAGGCGGAGGTGTTGGGCTGTGTAAAGGACGCTATAATAACAGTAATAATCCTTTACATTTGTACAACCCTTTACAGTTTACACAGGGCTTTCACATCCCTTTTCTAATTTAAGCTACACAATAGCCCTGTACAAAAATCTAAGCAGCCAAAAACATACCATAGAATATCTGTGGGTGGACATTGTGGATTCTAAAATCATAAAAATGTGGGAATAGTGTTAGCTTGTACTGGACAAGACCACTGACTGAAGCAAAATACTAAGTAATATCTAGGAAGGTGTAGAAGTAGGCTTCATAACCTCTGCAGTGTTGGATCAGCTCCATCACCCACATGTTGATTAGCATCTCCCCAGGAATGTGGAATACATCACTGCCAAGCAAGCTATGTGAGAGCCACCTGGAGAACTTGGGAATGTGTAGATTGCCTGGTCTTATCCCCGGAGACTCTGATTCAGTGGGTTTGAAGTAGAATCCAGAAATAATGCATTTACACAAGCTCTTTTAGTGATGCTGAAGTGTAACTAAGTTTGTAACTACTGTTCTGGAAAAGGCCTTAAGAACTCAGCTAGAGAATTTTCCTCTGTGGGTCTGTGCTCAGGTGGGACTATTTAACATATGAGTCAGAAAAAGAGGACCAACCAATCTACTTGTGTACCCGGGTAGGTAAGTGTTGTGACAGAAAAAGCACATGTATTCCTAAAGACTAATTTCCTGCAAATGTGATTTCTAAAGACTTTAAAACAATTCACAGAGTTCCTCAGCAAAGGCTGTTTTAAGATATTGTGAATCAGGGTTGGGGGCATGTGTTGCAATGGACACAGTCCAGGTCTAGAGAAGCTGCTATTTTAAAGAAGGCCAAACCCAGAACTTAAAGCCAGGGAACCCTGGCTAGGACCTCAGCCTAACCATGTCCCAGGGTGTGACTTTCATGATAAGAGCTCATCTCTCTGAGCCCCACTTTCCTTCTCTGAAAAATGTACCTCTTCGGTGACATTCTCCTCCCTATTTCTATTATCCCCATCCATCCTCCTCTTGTAGCTTCCTAATCCAAACTAGCACCTGGCCTTTGATTAAATTTTTCCTCCTTTCTCAATCTTTTTTATGTTCCCAAATTGCTCACAAAAGCCAGGAATATAAGATTTTGTTTATGTATGCTGAGATGAGTAATTGTGGTATGTTTGAGAGGCATACATGGTTGTACAGAATACACATCTGTACCTGAGTTTCCTACATACTATTCCTACTAGGAAGATTCTAAACTCTTTGTTGTTTCTTTTCTGTCATCTCTTTATTTTCCTCCCTAGAATATGGATTTATGGACTAACCTTGCAACTAAGTACTTGAAGTAACTCATAAAATGTTCACCAGCCATTCATATGCATACATGTCCTTGCATGCTACATTCTTACTTTTCTTTAATGTTCTTGTTGCCTTTGCTTTAACTCTTTAATCACCTTGCTTAGAAATACTGATTTTTGCCCTCAAAGCTGAAATATCATAAAATAAATAATAGAGGAAATGGAAATAAAGAATTTGTAGTAGGCTATTACGGAAACAATTTCAAACTTTTCTGTATCTATAGCTAAGTGGGTGTTTAATCTGATGAGTACAGAAGTGATCACACTCAGTGATTTCTCCTACTAAGTGTCTCTAAATACATCATGTTGAAAGCATTAACTACTGAGCCCCTTTCCCATTCCTTTGTAGTGAAAACACTGTTCAATCCCGCTCCTGCCATTGCTGACCTGGATCCCCGGTTCTACTCCCTCTCAGATGTGTTCTGTTGCAATGAAAGTGAGGTAAGGATGGATTGGTTTGATCACTCTATGATAGACCAAAAGACTTTCAGACAAGTAGATAAAGCAGAGAGCAAGGACTAACCACATCAATTTGATTTTATAGTTATTCAGAGAAAACAGATTTTTCTCTTGTGGTATAGGGAAAAGGAAATTAGTAAGTTCTAGCGTGGGAAAAAGGATTCTCTGAGTCACCCTCCCTAATTAGTATAGAGTTGCCAAGTTTAATAAATAAAAATACAACATGCACAGTTAAACTTTAATTTCAAACAATCAATGAATAATATACTAAACATTCTTATACTATAAAACTATTTGTTGACTTTACGAAATTTCAGATTTAACTGAGCTTCCTGTATTTTATCTGGCAAACCTAATTATCTGCTGTCTTCTGTTGGGCAGTCCCTGGACAGCACTAGTGGACAGACACAGGTTCTCCACTGAGGCCACAGAAAAGACCCTGGCGGCCACTGCATTAGGGGTCTGCATTTCAGTCCATTTGAGAGTCATAATGTATACTTCTGCACAAAATATCTATCAGTATATTGATATTAGGCCACTCTTTTGTAAGTATTTTTATGAATAAAATCTCAATATCTAGAGTAGAACTTTCTTCCATTGTTGGAACATAGGACATATTATATACATTGGCAAATGCAGCACATCTTTCATTTGATGCTAAGCTGAATGAAGTCTTCTAGGCTTTCTTGACCTGCTTTCTTCAAAATTTCATCTCTCAGAACATAAGAGAACACAAGAAAGAAGACTGCTACATAGAAACTAATTTTAGCAAACCACCAAATTATGCAATATTTTTGAGCAACCACCATGGCTAGCCAGCATTGGGCTAGGAAAAAAGGGATTGTGGGAGATAGTGACCATTTCACAATAAGAGGATAGACTGGCCCCAACTGCCAAACTGGCACAGATTTCCCTGCCTAGATCTTAAAAAGCACTCTGTGTATTCTTCAAACATTTGTCACAGTCCAAATTATTTATTCAGTTATTCTACTTTTGCATTAAATTACAAGTTCCATGAAAACAGGGCATCTGTCTTATTCACTGTTGTGTCCCCAATGGCTGTCCCTATGAATATAGTTGTCTATTGCTGCATAATAAATTACCCCAAAAAATAGTGACTTAAAACAATAATTATTGTCATTCCCAAGAATGACATCAGGAATTCAGACAGGGGACAGCATGGCTTGTCCCTGCTCCACAATGCCTGGGGGCTTGCTTGGAAGACTCAAGACTTTTTTTTAATCTGAAGTCTTTTTCACTCATACTCTTGATCATGCTGGCTGGTGACTGGTGGCATAATGAGGCTGTTGGCTGAAACACTTGCACATGGCTTCACATTGTGGCCTGGGCTTCTTCGCAATATGGTAGCTGGGTTCCAAAATCCAACATTCCAAGAGAGAGAACACCAGGCAGAAACGATGTTGGCTTTTAGAATTAGCTTTGGCAGTCATACAGTGTCATTTCTGTCTATCTTATGGATTGAAGCAGGAAGTTCCACCCTACCACACCTCTCAATAGAAGACTTTATTGTTACAGTGTAAAAATAGCATTTTGTGATATAATATATATTAATATTTATCTTTGGAAAATAGTCGTTGGCAACTAATAAATGCTTATTAAATAAATGAACTCTGGTCTTTAAGGAAATTGGTTTCAAAAAATTAATTTAAAAAAAGAAAAACATTTAAATTTTTAACATTCTTATGGGTGAATTGAAGTAATTTGTGCTAATAATATAAATTCATGCGTAAGGTACTGCCTCTGCTCCAGACCCAAACCACTGATATGCAAGTATAAAAAAGATAATAATGAAGAGATACAAGCTCAAAAATAAGATAACTCCACAGAATGAAAAATGTAACAGCTTTACAGAGCATTCAGCCCTTGATGTGCCAAATGCAAACCCCAGAAGCAGATGGGGGTAATAGGACGCCCACCTCCTATGGGTAAAGGAACAATAAAAGTATGCCATTCATAGGAGGTAAGCAGTGCCCACTGCTAGAAACCATATATGCTCAACTGTAGCTCACCTGTTCATAATAGAAGGTGGAAGAAGCTGCTGTCCCTGTACCTGAGGCTACAACATGCTTAGGGGCCCAGCCTGAGGAGATAGGAAGATAAGACACTGCCTCTAACCAGGAGGGAAAACAGGCCAACCCCTAAGTTTGTGAGTGCACTGTCAATGTCCCCAGTAGCAGCAGAGCAGGACTCCATCTGGCCAATACAGTATGTGGCTCTTATTTGGAGAACCTTGGTGGATGTAACTCTAAAACCACTAGAAAGGAAGGTACAGGCCAAGTAGGAGGTGAAGTGTAAAGACTGTCCATCTCACAGCAAGTGAAGTGAGCCTGCAAAGAAAGAAATGTAATGCATGAAACTTAGCCAAACAAGTAAACAAGATGAACTTACCCAAGGGAAAATTCAAATAATAAAACAGTGCAAAAAAGACAGTAACATAAGTATGACTTAGATGGGCTTAGGAGTGTAACTCAGTAGTAGAGCATATTCTTAGCATGGATGATGCCCTGGATTCAGTTCCCAGCACCAAATAAACAAATCAATAGGAAAAAAATTGTGAAAGAAAAACAGAATAGAAGCAAAAATATATGAACATGAGAAACAAACCATTAGAGGTCTTGAAAGTACAGCACAGTATGGTGGCTCACACTCATAATCCCAGCACTCAGAAGGCTTAGGCAAGAGGAATGTGAGTTTGAGACTAGCATGGGCTACATAGCAAGAAAGACCTTGTCTCAAAAAAAAAGGTTTTGAAAATCAAAATCATCATTGAAATATTTTACATCACTCATTAGAAAAATAAACATTAGATTGGAATAAAGAATTAGTAAATTGAAAAAGAATCTTGATCCCTTCATCAAGAGCTTGAAAACTCAGTTTGCTGAGGAAGCAGTACAGAAAGAAAAATATTTTGAAGTAGTAAAGGAGAATTTAGAGAAGGAAAGCTTGAGAGTTTCTAATACATCCACTTGCAGTGAAAGAAGAAGAGAAGCAATATTAAAGGAAAAACTGTGTTTTCTAGACTAGAGAAAAGGCAGAAATCCTCTGGTTGAAGGCCTATGAAAGTAGCATGTAAAATAAACGTGTACAGTGATGCACTCCTCTAACTCTAGTTACTCACGGTTCGAGACCAGCCTGGGCAAAGTTAGCACAAAACCCTGACACAAAGACAAAAACGAAACTGCTGCGGTGTGGCTCAAGTTGTAGAGCACTTCACAAGACCCTGGGGTCAATCTTCAGAATGGGGGAAAAATTTTAAATAGAATTTGTTGAAACTGCAGTATATTTGCTGTGTGAAATACTGTGAAGGTAGGAAAGAAGAAAGGAAGCAAGTTACATATGTCAACACAAATTAATGTCAAGAGAAAAAAGCACATTCCTAAATAGTATATGTGAAAAATATCATTTAACTTCTTAAAGAAAAATATCAGAAGCAAATAAAGTAAAATGTTAAGATTTGTTAAAGGTAGGTGGATATTTGTTGCACAGTTACTTATGATAAGGATTTTTCATTAATGAATAGTTTATGAGAGGTTTTTGGAAGACATAGTCAGTGTTTCTGAAAATAGACCATCCAGCTTGGCAGATAGAAGTGATCCCAATAGTGAAGATCAGTGTAAAATTTTTTTATAAACACAGTATAAACAACCCAGACTGAAAGGCTCTGAGCAAAAGATGAAAAGAGAGGGCACATGGTCAAGTTCATGAACCCTGTGCTACTCAGAATGAGCAGACACTGAAATGATTTATAGACAGTTTTTTTAAAAAGTTAATTTGGGCATATTCAGAGCAAATACAAGGACAGTATAGATGCATTCTTAGGAAGATGTAGCATTTGATTAAATTGTAATACAGACAAGACAGAATTTGGTTACATACTTTTTGAGTCAAAAAGTACCATATAATTCTTCTAGTGCTTTTTAAATTTCTTGTCTCAGAACCAGAGAGGTTCCCTAGAGATCATGGATGGGCTTCTTTCAGCCCTACTTCTGCCAAAGATCATTTTGTATTCCAGGAGAGAAACACTGATCCTCTAAAGCCCCTCCTTTTGCAAATTTTAAGTGATTTGGGGAAGGTCAGAGTTGACAGAAGAGGCCTCCTCTCTGCTTCAGGCTTCTCCAGCAAAAGCAAACTAACAAAAGAAGTGAGTACTCTGCATACATCGAAAGGTAGATAAGAAAGGCACCAAGGGTCCAGAAGAGGCCTGAAGAATGACATCCTTAGGTACCAAAATCTACAGGTAGAATTTATACCAAAATCATTGGGAGTGGTTCTTTCCTTCCTCTCCCCCACTTTCCTTTCTTTCTTTTGTAGAATCTTTGCTTATAACCTACCAGTGTTTGTTATTTTTACTGAAAACTAAGTAAAAATAAGTATTTTGGTTTTTGTTAAAAGGAAGTTGCAGGGTTGGTGGAATGGTTCAAGTGGTAGAGCACCTGCCTAGCAAGCGTGAGGCCCTGAGTTCAAACCTCAGTACTGCAAAAAAAAAAAAAAAAAAACCTGAAAAGGAAGTTGCAGACAACACACCTCATGCCTAAATACTTCAGCATGCATCTCCTAAGAAGAACCACAATACCATTGTCACACTTAAAAAATTTATCAGTAACTCCATATTGTCATCTAATAAATGCAGGCCATATTCAGATTTTTCCATTGGTTTACAATCCTCCTGCCTTAGCCCTGAGTGCTCAGATTATAGGCATGCACCACCAAAGCCCAACCCAAGAATGTCTTTAATAGGTGGCTTTTATTGTCATTGTTTTAGTTCTCTTTTATTTTCCTGCACTAGTATCCTCCAGCATGCCCATTGCATTGGTTGTTATGATAAAGGAGGGAGACACCTTTTCTAGAAAAGCAAATCTGGAAGTGGCTCCCAGTTACCTATTTTTACCAATTTCTTTTTCCATTATATATTCCAGGCTGAGATTTTAACTGGCCTCGTGGTGGGCAGCCCGGAGGAGGCTGGGAAGGCCGCACTGGTGCTCCTGGAACGGGGCTGCCAGGTTGTAGTCATCACCTTGGGAGCTGCAGGATGTGTGACACTATCACAGATGGAGCCTGTCCCAAAGCACATTCCCACAGAGACAGTCAAAGCTGTGGATACGACAGTAAGTTTTAAACTTTAAAAATCATTTTTTATGCTAGTCACAGTGACTCATGCCGGCCTGTAAAACTAACTACTCAGGAGGCAGACATTGGGAGGATTGCAGTTTGAGGCCAGCCTGAGCAAAAAGTTGGTGAGACCGCATCTTGACCAATAAAAGCTGGGAATGGTGGCATACATCTGACATCCCAGCTACTCAGGAGGCATAAATTAGAGAATGAGCTCCAGACCGGCTGGGCATAAAACAGCAAGACTCTAAGTCAAAAATAACCAATGCCAAAAAGGGTTCAGGGTGTGGCTCAAGTGATAGATCATCTGCCTAGCAAACATAAGACCCTGAGTTCAAACCCCAGTACTGACAAAAAAAAATAAAGAATCATTTTTGGCACTTGAAAATCATTATTTAAATAACTAAGATACTGTACCTGAATTTTTGAATAATGAGATGAAGACTTAGAGGTGATATGATAGAAGAGAAGAATAGCCACATAGGAAAACTATATTAATCCCTCTCTGACTCACTGCAGGACTTTACATAAGTTACTAAACCTCTCTGAGCCTCAGTTTCCTCATCCATAAAATCATACCTGTATTATCTGTATACATTCAATCTTTGAGCCGTGTCCTAAATTAGTATTTGTTGGATACCTGTCATATGCTAGGTACTGGGAATAGTGGTGATCAAAGGAAAGTTTCAGACTCCTGGAGCTTAGACTCCGGCCAATAAACAGATAGCCATATGTCTTACAAGCCTTTCATGTGGAGTGAATGGCAAGGAGCATTAACAGCGGTCATTCTTTTAGCCAACAAATAAGAGCTAGCATTTACTGCATGCTTGTACATCTCTTTTACAGACACCTCATTTCATGTTTACAGCAATTATATGAGGCAGGTACTGTTATTCTCCTCATTTTACAGATGAAGAAACTTGTTCAGGGTCATAGTACTAGTTAGTAAGCTCAGGTTTCAAAATCAGGCTTGTGTCTTCTGCATAGGCATTTTTGACTTAAGTTACTAAATTTAGGTCAAGTCATAGCTGTGAAGTAAAAACAAAGAGGAAACAAGTTAGAGAAAAGGATCATGCTTTCCCTACAGCTACAGAATAAAAATTATTTGTTTAGTGTTAGAATTCAGAAAAGCAGACTAGAAACCTAAGTAAACCTGAGAGACAAGAAATTATAGCTGAAGAAGAAAAAGGTTAGGGTTTTATTTATAAAGAATTGATACATGATTAATTATTTATAAAATATGTTCTGGTTTGTTTTTCTTCTGAGGATCTTTAAATTTTGGGTTATTTGTCAAAAAAAGAAACCCAAGGAGGAATCCAATGAAGGTATAGATATGAATTTGCTCTAAAAAATATATATATAAGTGCAAGAAATGCTTATAGAACATGAAGTTAATGCCCTGGTTGCCTTCGAAACTGTGCTCTGTTGGGTATTTGATAAATTGTGTTTGGTCTTGTTATTATCTTCGTATTGAGTCACCTCTGAAAACATCAGTTTTTCTCTTTTTTTTTTCTGCTTATCAAGGACAAGAAACTGAATTTGAGAGGTACCTAATTAGTTCAGTCCTCTGTTAGACTAAAACTATTCCACATCCCAAACCGAAGTGAGAAGAGTTTCTCTCTTGCTGGAGTTAAATGAAGGATTCTCAGGGTTGTCAAGCCTATACTGACACACAAGTGGCTCAGCCTCTCCATTCAGCGTGTGCATTAGTTACAACTGCTTTTGGTTCTAAGCATCAGAAGCCCAACTCTTAACTGGGATTTATTTGGTGCAGCTGGAAGACTTGAAGATATGGCCGGATGCAAAGCCTGACCTTGAGGCTTTTTCGCTTGCTCTCCTTGAGAGCTCTGCTCTCTAGTAGTGCTTTGAGCTCTGGCAGGTCCTCTTCTGTTGTGATTCCTGGAAGCTCTGTGCCCACGTCATGGGCCGGTATCCCTGGTATCAGATAAAAATCAAAGAATTCTTCTCAGAGGATGGGGAAGTAGATGCTGGCCAGACAAAAGCAGCTTATGCCACAGAGCAGTCATGTGCAGATGCACTGCTGGGCATGGGACTATGAAGAAACTAGCTTTGGAAGTGGTCAAATTAGTACTAATGAGCCTTAGACTCATTTCATGTGGAAAGATCGCATTTCATAGATCCCTCGCAATTACAGTTTTGAGAATATAAATACCACAGGGTGCACTAAGAGGGTTTTCATTCATTCATTCAACAAATACTAACTGAATTCTGATTACATGCCAAGCAAAAGTGGGGGAAAGGAAAAAAAGAAGTAGTGGAATATTCAGTGCATTTGAACCTATACAGAGATTTTCAGTTTCCTTGCTGAATCTGAAGGTGAATTAGTAATTAGCATGTAGAAACTGAGGACATAGAAACCATGAGGTAGATTCTCCTCTAGGTCATCTGGACTCTAAGGGAGAAGTGTGATAAGTAAGTAAAATCTTTGTACATCCCACGTCTGTAAATGCATAGTCATAACAATGCAAATGCCAGCTGCCGTTTAACCAATTGCAGTGTGAAGAGGAGGGGGTAAACACTCACCTCCATAGTTGGAAGTCAAGAGGTAATATCTAAAACTGATTCTAAGGTGATAGTATAAATATACTGCCAGAACTATAAGATAAATACCGGGAGAAACCCCTAAAACCATTTAAAATATTTGCCTCAAGGACATGAGAATGGACAGAAATGGAACATTTACACTTCAAGCCCTACCTTTTAAACTACATATATGGGTGGCTTTGATTTTCAGGTAAACAAAAAATAACACAATAAGAGCAGTTCATACCCTCTAAGTAGCCATAATCAAAAAAGATAATCATAAGTGTCACCTAGGCTCTGGAGAAACTGGAACTCTTTTACATTGGTGGTAGGGGGATCAGATGGTGCAGTCACTTTGGAAAACAGTTTGCAAGTGCCTCAAAAAGTTAAATATAGAGCCAGGGATGGTGGTACATGCCTGTAATCTCAACACTTGGGAGATGCTGAGATAAGAAGATTGTGAGTTCAAGGCTACACAGTGAGACCCTGTCTCAAAAAAACTGGAAAAAAGAGTTAAGTATAGAGTTCCAGTATGACCCAGCAATTTCACGTCATAGCAGCATTATTCATAATATCCAAAAATTAGAAACACCCAGTGTTCATCAACAAGTGAATGGGTAAACAAATTATGGTATATTCATACAGTGGAATATTGTTCAGCCACCAAAAGGAATATTGATACATGCTATGACATGAGTAAACCTCCAAAACATCATGCTACATGAAAGAAACCAGACACAAAAAGTCAAATAATATATGACTCTATTTAAATGAAAAACACAGACTAGATAAATCCATAGTAAGGGCAAAATAGTTTCTGCCTGGTAGTGAGGGGTTGAGGGGGCGGGAGGAAGGGGAGAGAAATGACCCAAACATTGTATGCACATATGAATAAAATTTTAAAAAATTAAAAATTAAAAAAAAATCCATAGGCATAGAATACAGATTGGTGGTTGCCAGGGGGCAGAGAAGAGTGAATGGGGAGAGACAACTTAATGGGGAAGGGGTTTTTGGAGTGATGGAAATGTTTTGAAACTAGATAGTGGTACAAGATTGTAAGTATACCAAATGCTAGCATATTAGACACTTAAATGGTTAAATTAACATGTGGTACATGTTTATAATCCCAGCACTTGGGAAAGTGAGGCCAAATGGTGAGTTTGAGGTTAGCCTGCGCTACATATGAGATTCTATCTCAAAAAGCAAAAAGCAATAACAACAATAATAAGACAGCTAAATTGTTAAATAGTAAATTATTTATAAAGGAATAAAGTACTGACTAATGCTATGACATGGATGAATCTTGAAAACATAAGTAGAAAAAATGAGGCATAAAAGCTACATATTGTATGAGTCTGCTTATATGAAAGATTCAGAATAGGTAACTCCATAGAGAAAGAGTAAATTGATGGTGGAGTAAGACAGGAAGTAACTACTAATGAGTTCCTTATGTTCTGGAAGGACTGGGAATGTAGCTCAGTGGTAGAGTGCTTGCCTACCATGCACAAGGCCCTGGTTTTGATCCCCAGTACCACAAAAGGGAAAGAAGAAGGAAGGAAGGAAGGAAGAAAGGAAGGAAGGAAGGAAGGGAAGGGAGGGATGGAGGAAGGAGGAGGAGGAGAGGAGGAAGGAGGAGGGTGGGTTCTGAAATTAGTGGTTAACCTGTGAATATACTAAAAACCACTAAAGGGTATACTTTTAAAGAATGAATTTTATGGTGTGTGAATTTTATCTCAATTTAGAAAAAAAATACAAGATCAAACAACAAAAATGCTGCATTTAGGCACTTCACTAGTGAACCAATAGTTCCATGATAAAGGGTCTGGAGCAGCTCAGGTGGTAGACAGCTTGCAAAGCATGAGGTCCTGAGTTCAAACCCCAGCACCACCAAAAAAAAAGGGTCTTCCACTGCATTGCTCTGCTAAGCTACCAAATAGTCTCTTAGCACTGCCCCAACAGAACAGGTGACACCAACAGGAAACCAGGGTAGTTATTTTCTAGGTTTAGACTCTCCCTCATCTTTTTATGCTTTCTTTGTCTTCTCCTCCAGCACTCTCATTACCAAAGTTCTTGCCTGTTTGATTCACAGTCGTTCAGCCTCTTCATAAGTTTACTAAGGAGTGATCAATTCCCATGTCAGTGTGAGGCACTCGGAAAAAAAAAAGTTTCCGTCACTTTTCGGTCAGGAAGATGTTACTTCCTCTCAGCTGGTTTGTAACTTTCTTCGTCTCCTCTTCCTAATCCCTTAGTAAGACATCAGGGATGACATAGATTGAGTAAACATCAGTAGTTACCTGGCACACAGTTCCCTTGAAACAAGAGCCTGTGCTAGATGAAGCTGTTTCCCTTCTACATCATTGCTGCAGCCTGCTATATTCAGTTTTGCCTCCCTGTTAATAGTTGGATATATCACTTCTATTTTTTGCATCTGTTTTTCCCGTTGTGCTGGAGT